ATAAAGAGTTTCGACGAAAATTTCAGCGAACACTCGATAAAAAGCACTCAAGAACCATTTCACATTTATCTTCGATTTAGATACGTTCAATTGTTTACGTGCCCTGATAACCGGCCTGTACTTCGACTGAAAACAAGTTAATAATTGAGGTACTTACAATTAGTGGCAAATTATCAAATGCCTTAATAAAACCTTAATAATACATTTGTACGACAATTACTTTTACGGAAAATAATTTTCTCAGGAAAATTATTCCTGAATTATACTTACTTTTTAAACAACTAGTGGTGTAAATTTATTTATAGTTTGGTAACAGGTGCCAATTTTCCATTATCCTCATTTTGTTACTAGTTCTCCACTATGAATTTGTTGCTTTCGATATCAACGCATTTTAATATACTTCTGCTCATTTTGGTGCTCGAAGTTCATGGAATAAACGCTGAATAATTAGAATTTGTCAATGGTACAAAAAACTGAAAATCGACGTAGATATGGCAAGTGCCTTTTTTCCAATGAGCCCCTCAATTATTAACGACGCGGTGTTGTGACACGTGGAATGCGTTCCGATCGGTACACACACGCGAATAGAATCCAAAATACACAACCGATTAACCGGAAACCTCGACGATTTCTCTGTATACGCAGAAAAGCATCTGTGACGCAACCGTCGCCGCTAAGACGTTGCATCTTCGATGTCCGGGAACCGAGTGCGTGTGTCCACTTGCGCAATTCACGCTGTCCCACCTTACATAAGTTTCGCTATCGCCTCTTCAATAATTACGACAGGCTCGTAGAGCGTCTTCTAGACGCGAGAGAAAAAAATTCCACTCGAAAATGGTCACGATGGTTCGTGATGATAAAACGAATCGACATGCAATCGAGCAAACAATACGGAACGGTTATCGCGCCGGCGCTAGACAGTTGTTAAATGGCCTTCGCGCGGTTTCCTCGTTTTTTGAAGAAACTGTACATATGTCCACTTTATACATACATAGGATTTTTCTCAAGAAATTCACATTTTCACAGATCAAATGGAAACGTTTCCTCGAAATAAAATTCTCTTCCCTTTAGCGACCGGAAAATTGGTGACACATGGGAATTTTTTTAAAGAAAACAAAGAAGATACGGTAGAAGAACTTCCTAAGGGGTGTAAGGGCCTTAAGGAGTGGGGGGTTTTTCTCCATCGCATATACCTAGTCGCATCGGACCCTAAAAATTCCTATGACACAAAATTCCCAGTGTCCAGCCTAATACAAATTTTATTGAACCCAGGTAACTCGAATTCGCCTGGCGAGGGTGAACCCCCGTGGGTTAGGCTGCGCGTCCGGGGTAAAGGACGGAGTTACCCGGAACAGGGCACACGGTTGTGTTCCCCCTCTCCAACCGCCCGTTCGAGGGTTAGGTGTGAACCCTTCTGGTTGGCACGTGCTGGGCTGACAAGTTAGGACCGGGAGTTAGCTGAAACCGAGTATCGACCGCGGTTCGTTCAATACTTGGGATGCGCCGTGAACGGAAAAGAGACGGCGATATATCACGAGGAGGTCGGTTAGGCCAAAGGGGACCTGGAGGGGAGGACGAACCGCTACACGTTTACTGCCTCGGTTTTTAGACACAACCAGCCCGAAACAGGTGTATTCCCGCGGACAATTTCGACACAGAGGACACCGGGGCAAAGGATGCGTTTCAAGGTGCCGTGCAATTAACAGGGCCGTACCCGGTGCCACGAAAGGGTGGGGGGATTCGGTGGAAACAAATGAGTCACGAGCGGCGGCGGCGAGACGTCGTCGTAGGTCGAGGCAAAACCCGGTTGGTAGGGATATCTCAGGACCGTCACCTTCGATACAGGCGCCATGGTGTTTGGAGCCCTTGGAGCTTAGAAATTATGCAATTCCATGCAAATCGTTTCGAATATTTTCGGAGCGAAAATTGACCTCGGACAAAGTATTCTTAAACGATCTCTTCTAATCTACTGTTATCAATCTCCAATCGAAGATTCTTAATTATAACATTTTATGTAACTGAGATTATCATCGTCTTTTGTCACGATGGGAAATAGCATTCCTATCAGTCTCCCAACAGAGTTACTCCAAATGAAAAAAAAAGTACAATAATTCTATCGTTTTATGTAACTATTTTTCTGTTTATCGTACGAAGACGATTTAACCGGCGTTTGAAACACGAAGGTGATTAAATGTCAGCGAACAAAGGCGCATGCGAATCGCGAAAGTGTCGACGCGACAGTGCGGAACGACGAACGCAAGCGAATTCCGCGTGGATCGTTTGCTTAAATCGTTGACACGGAGCGAGCGTAACCGAATCCGGTGTCGGGTTTTCCTTTCGGAGCGGGAGCCAAATCGAGGGAGGGAGGGGCGACACGTGGCGGGTTCTCGTGATTGGAATAGCGACTGCGAAGGATACGGCCCTGAGCAACCGGGGACGGGAGCAGGCAGAGCGCAAGTCTTCTGCTAATGCCAAACGACTCCCTTAATACACTCGCGTCTGGAATCTCGTTGGTAATTGGGGCGAACGGTTTTCTGCCAGCTGTCGCGCGGGCTTGTCAGTGGTTCACGGTGACCGTGCAAACCGGTCGTAACGAATCATTGGTCGTGTAAGAGATAACTTGCGTGTGGAAATTGTTGTGCTCCGAAAAATCACAAGGCATAGAAACGGCGACTGAATTTCGGCGCGCTCGGTGCTCCAAAAGGAACGGTGTCTGTGTCGGGCCTGCGGTCGCCATCTTAGATCCATCGTGGGAGCACGTTGGCGGTCGATCATCGTACGAAATTTCGTGGAACGTTCTATATGTATACGAGGAACACAGGAGCGACGAAGTGATGCCAGAAGGAAAGCCATTGTTTTTCCTCGAGCGTGGTCATTTATAAAGGAACGTTGCATGTCGCAGCGGGCAAAAGAAGAAGTGGTGGTCTGGAGAGTGAACACTGTTGCGGCGATCGTGTCGGTCGAGCCGCAGATGAGTGAAACGGAACGGTCGTGTGCGAAGTGAGGTTCTTCTGGGGATGGTGCGGGATTTTTTTATTTTTCACGTTCTCCTAGTTTGACCGGGGAAAACAGCGTGACACGTACGGATATTGGGATCGGCCCAGACAGAGAGGGGAAAACGTTAAACCGGGTCTGTCCGTCATTATGAACAAGATGCTAGGAACAAACTATTGCACCGTGTTCTCTGTACTTAGAAGTCCCGAAGAGGGTGAATCGTTTAAGCGGATCATCTGAATATTACGAAGAGGGAAACGATACGACACGTGAGACGGAATTAAAAACCGTGGACAGAAACTGTGGTGATAATACAGTGTACAATATACGTTTGTCAGCCGCGAGGACGACCGTGAAGGGTTCAATTTTTCATCGAACAGTCACGAGACTGGGAATCTATGTGTGTGTGGGTTCGATAGTAGCAACTGATTTGCGTGAATAAAAACTCGAAGACTCGTGCGGGACGTGTGAGATCACTTACGAAGAAAAAAAGAAGAGGAAAAAAACGAACCGTCACGTAATCGGTTCTATATATAGATCCTCGAAACCGCGAGGCGGAACTTGTTTCACGAAACCGCGACATCGATCGTGCGAGGCTGTTCTTCGTTTCATTTAACGATCCTTCGTTTCCTACGTAATCCTGATAACGGATTCGTAAGACGTTTTTTTCTTCCTTCGAAGACCGATAAAACCGTACTTAACCAATCTTGGATAATCGTTCTAGAGGATCGTTCAGTTTGCGCTGGTGACTCGACTGAAAATAGACTCCCATCGATATCATCGGTAATACAGAACGATCGATAGATCCAATTTTATCGACTCGATCTCTCGTGGCAAAGTCGATAAGACAGATATCTGTCAACGAGGGGACGAAAAAGTGATCCCGTGGATCCACCCACGACACCGTTGTGTGCGTGTGCGTCGTATTATTTCCCCGTTTCTCAGCCGATCGAGATATCCGACGGCGCCAAAGATATCCTTATAACCCGTAATGTATTTGAGATCGCACGTAAAGGCAGATAAAGGGAGGCACGAGCATACAAGAGAGGCGGTGGAAGCTGATTGTGGGGCAAGAGGACGAGGCCAGCTTGGAACGGCCGGCAGGATCAAAGGCAGGACGAAGGCTATCATCCCGTTGGATTGCTGGGATCTCGAGGTTGATACTCGGCTGGATCGTCTAGGGTCGCCTGGAAGAGATTCGGAACAGGCCTGCCTACGACGCGGTATGAGCGAAGGTGAACGAGCGGTGATCACGCCACGAATTGGCTGGCGAAAGCTCACCGATCCTGGCGACTGACACGAGACGAGGAACACAGGGGCAGGTCCGAGCCGATAGCATCAGCTGCTATCTCGAAGCTCAACGTCCTCGCTCTCCTGCCGTTGTTCTGTCCTGATTCACGCTACCACATATTCGTGCCACCGTAGGATATCGTCTCCAGTTGCGTTCTCGATCCTCTATGCCAGCCAGATGCAAGAGAACGCACCCCTAGGATCTACGCCGAGAACATCGAAGACGGACCCAACGATGGCGGACAACCGGTATCGGTAGCAGACGGGGTTATTGCTTGCAACAGCTAACCACCACCTCGTCCTGCATACACCAGCCAGCTGACAACACCGTCGAGCCTGGTCTCGGCTAGATTCCCGCTCGTTCTCTCTTACCTCGAGCACTCCGATTATCATCCCCCGTCATCGATCTCTTAACGAAGTCAGTTGACGAACTTTGTCCTGGTTGTTTCGATTAGCTTGGTTGTCGCTCGGACAACTAGCCCGGGCCCCCGTGTACAGGCCCACGGACAATAAATTGTAGTTGATAAGGGTAGTGGTGTAAGATGTAGTGGTGAGACAACTGGATCAATTAGGAAGAGGATACGTCGAAAGGGAATAAAGAAACCGCTGAGTGACTCCTGCTGAGTAAGCGATCCACAGCTGCATCCGAACGATTGTACTTAATTAAGAGAGAGAGTAGATTAGTCGAGTCTTCTGTCCCTTCACCTGTAGACGTCATGCCGCCCACGCCGAGCAAACTGAACCTGAACTTCGCCAGAAACGCGTACAGCGTGTTCGGGACACGCGGTACCAACAACACCGCTGACCATCAGCGGGAACAGAAAACGGAACTTCTGGAGGGTAAGAGCTGGCAATGGGTTCGATCGACGATACGATTCGTTTCTTTGCTTTCTAATTGGCACTGCGAATAATACTTTTGAATAAAATTGTCGGACACTTTTCTGTACAATATAACATCTTTATTAAGACAGATAATTAGGATTAACGAGGATAAGTCCCCATTAGTGGAGGCTCAATTTTATATTGGTTTTGGATTTATATGATTGATTTCGTTTCAGGTACCAGAGGAAACGGCATCCTCCACCTAAAGAATGGCGTCGATTACGTCAACCCCGGTGAGGAGGACCAAATGGAAATCCATGGGTACGTAATTCCTAGCCTCAAGGTTCTCGTTCGTATAACCATCGAATCGATTAAAGATTTCCGTTTTATTCCAGCTACAAGAGAAGCAGAATTTTAACCATCGTCATCTGGCTGCTGATCTTTCTCACCGGGGGCCTTCTCAGGCTGGTCTTTCACTGGGTACCGCAATGGATGTTACAAGCCACTCATTCCAAATGTCCACTCGAGGAAGCGGACACCGTTTTGCTCGTGGAGAAGTTCCAAGGAAAGCACACGAGCTATTACGTGAAGAAGCTGAAGAATATGTCTGCTCAGGATGTGATGTTAGTACTACAATAATTTTATTTACATCATTCCATCAACTATTTCATGTAAAAATTGCTTATATTCGTTTAAAGGTCGAAGCCCTTCGACGGAGAGTCACTGATGGATAACGATGCCTGGGTGGAAAATGGCAGTATGATAACCAGCAAAGAGGTCAAGGAAGAATACCCCACGTTGTCGCTGCACCTAACGGGAGGACAGTTCAAAAGTAAGCATCGAACAATTGAAAAGACGATTTCAGATTTCATCAGTTTATTCGACTTTCACACAGATGTTCCATCCATCGTCTTCTTCCATTGCAAGAAGCTGACTTACGTCTGGGACCCAGAAAGAGCCGAGTTCTTGAAGCTCCGTGGCTTGGACGTTGATGTGCTCACCTCGACGTTGCATCAGATGCAGGGACTGAACTATCACGAACAACATATGAGGTATATTCCTATAAACTTGAATATCACCAAGGAATCTTAATAAACTCGAATCTAAATAAATTGCAACGCCTCGATATATTTTTCGCAGGCGGTGCGTTTATGGAAACAACGAGATTATGATTCCAGTGAAGAGTATGGTAACACTCCTCTGCCTCGAAATCCTCAATCCATTCTACGTCTTCCAATTGCTCAGCTTCTGTCTCTGGGTGGCCGACAACTATTACTACTACGCGATGGCCATTTTGTCAATGTCCAGCGTCGGTATACTGATGGCAGTATTCCAGACACGTCGGGTACATAACAGTTTATACGTCTTCTTGCACAATCCCCTGCATCTTTATTAACCATCAAGGCTTCTTCTACAGAATCAACAAAATCTAATGTCCACCGTTCATTCCTCCGACGTGGCCACCGTGATGAAAGACCGTTTAACGGGGCAAACAGCAACCGTGCCCGCCGAACGATTGGTCCCAGGTGACATTTTAGTCATTCCATCCCATGGATGTCTGATGCCATGCGACGCGGTACTTCTAACCGGAAACTGTATCCTGAACGAGTCTATGCTGACTGGGGAATCTGTCCCCGTCACGAAAACACCAATCCCTTCGTCCACCGATGTCACCTATGACACCAAGGAGCACGCTAGACACACGCTGTTCTGTGGTACCAAGGTTATTCAGACCAGGTACTACGGATCAGAAAAGGTAAGTTAGTGAGTCGCTTTTACTGTTCTATTAGACTTTATGAAATTTCATGAAAGTTCTTGATCGTTTATTCTTCCATCAGGTACTAGCTGTGGTCGTCAGGACAGGATTCAACACCAGCAAGGGTGCCCTGGTAAGGTCCATCATGTATCCTCCCCCTGTCGACTTCAAGTTCGAGCAAGACTCTTACAAGTTTGTCATCATGCTCGCCGGGATAGCTAGTATCGGGGTCGTTTACACAATCGTGACGAAAGTGATGAGAGGCGTGCAGAGCGATCACATCGTTCTAGAGGCCCTGGATTTGATCACGGTAGTTGTGCCACCAGCACTGCCAGCTGCGATGACAGTTGGTCGCCTGGTGGCGCAGCGTAGATTAGAGAAGAACAAGATCTATTGCACCAGTCCAAGGACCATCAACGTGTCGGGATCAATCGACTGCATCTGCTTCGATAAAACTGGCACGTTGACGGAGGATGGTCTCGACATGTGGGGCGTGGTGCCCGCTGTCGATCGAAAGTTCCAAGTGCCCATAAAAGATATCACGTCTTTGCCCCTTAACGATCTCCTGAACGGCATGGTAACTTGTCACGGAATCACTATAATAGACAGTCAGCCGGTGGGTGATCCGCTCGATCTGAAAATGTTCGAGTCCACCGGATGGTCCCTCGAGGAACCAGACGTATCCGACACGTCCAAGTTCTCGATGCTGTTCCCAACGATCGTCCGGCCACCGAAGAGCTCCAAGTTGCTGAAGAGGCTCGCCAATGATCTGAGGAACTCGCTCAGTCGACAAAACTCCATGTCTTCCGACGTGATCGACAATATCTCCTTGAACAACCTCGACACCGCGCTGGCTGGCTCCACCACAGAGTTGGGGGATCAGGGTGTAGAGATCGGAATTGTACGGCAGTTTCCGTTCACGTCCAGCCTTCAGAGAATGAGCGTGATCACCAGAACGTTGGGCGCCAATCACTACGATCTGTACTGCAAGGGGAGCCCGGAGATGATTCTGAGCTTGTCGAAGGCAGAGTCCAGTAAGTGACCTGAGAAAATCTTTGGTAGCTAAATATTTCCACTATGTATCGGTATAAAATTCTCTCTATTTTTTCTGCAGTTCCACCAGACTTTGCCGCCACGTTGCAAGATTACACCTCAGAGGGCTACCGCGTGATCGCTCTGGCCCACAAATCCCTGAACCGTCTTCCTTACGCCAAGGTCCAACGATTGAGTCGCGAGGCCGCAGAATCTGACCTGACGTTCCTCGCGTTCGTGATCATGGAGAACAGACTGAAGCCTGAAACCAGCCCAGTGATCAGTGCTCTGAACACTGCCAGCATCAAGACCGTGATGGTGACCGGCGACAATATGCTAACCGCGCTGTCGGTCGCCAGAGACTGCGACATCGTGAAGCCAGGTACACCGGTGATCGCAGTTTCAGCGACCCAGCAGAATCAGATGAAGCCTCAGATCTATTTCACGAAGAGCAACAGTCAACCGACACCTGTATCACCCATGGGACACGGTGGTTTCAGCGAGATCACTGACCTGAACAGTGTGGCCAGCTTAGAGACGGTTGAAAGTGGCTCGTTCGGGAACAATCAATACGAGAACAATGTCAATTATTTATCGGATGAGTAAGTATCTTCTAGAAAGAATGTATACATATCACTCTACAAGGTGTTTAATCATTCTTTCATACTTTCAGCCTACACCACTCGAAGAACAAATACGTCTTCGCGCTTACGGGTAAAACGTGGGCGTTGGTCAAACAATACTACCCAGAACTGATCCCCAAATTAGTCACTAGAGGCGCAATCTTCGCGAGAATGTCCCCGGACCAGAAGCAACAACTTGTTCAGGAATTGCAATCGTTAGGGTACTATGTTGGTAAGTGTCTTATCAGTCTATACCGATTGAATAGAGTTCTCATTAAAGATCATTTACAGCTATGGTAGGCGACGGTGCAAACGATTGCGGTGCCCTGAAGGCAGCCCACACGGGAATCTCTCTCTCCGACACGGAATCCTCGGTGGCCTCGCCGTTCACCAGCCGCGAGACCAACATCTCTTCCGTGTTGACCGTGATCCGAGAGGGTCGTGCAGCTTTGGTCACGTCCTTCGGGATCTTCAAGTACATGGCGAGCTACTCCCTCACTCAATTCATCTCTGTGATGCTTCTATACAGCATCGAGTCCAACCTGACGGACATCGAGTTCCTCTACATCGATCTCTTCATCATATCCATCTTCGCGTTCTTCTTCGGACGTACACAAGCCTACGACGGTCCACTGGTGAAAACTGCCCCGTTGAACAGTCTGATCAGCACCACGCCGATTCTAAGTCTGGTCACTCAGATCATGGTCGTGGCGATCTTCCAATACGCAAGTCTCTGGCATCTACGACAGATGGACTGGTTCGAGCCGTTCAACGCTACCGCCAAGTCACTCGAGGACAAAGACGACGTTGGTTGCACGGAAAACTACACGGTGTTCATCGTCAGCTCGATGCAGTACATCATACTGGCGGTGGCGTTCTCGAAGGGACATCCTTACAGAAAGTCTCTGTTCACGAATTACGGTCTTCTCACCTCGTTCATCTTCCTCAGCCTGTTCTCCGTCTATCTAGCGACTTTCCCGTTCGATTGGTTGGTCGATTGGTTCGAGCTCGTGCTCCCCGAGAGCGTCAGCTTCCGGTTCATCCTGGTCGGCTACGGAGTGGCGAACTTCGTGATATCTCTGTTAATGGAATACCTGTTCGTCGACTATCTGGTCTTCAACAAGCTACGCTATCGCTGGCACAACGTCGACAAGTCCAGACGGAAGTTCCTCGCTATCGATCGTGACATGGCGCGCGACCCAAAATGGCCGCCGATCTCGCAGGAACCACTACCAGAAGCCGCGCCGGATATCTTGATCAGACAGAACGTCACTGAGATCAAGATCGAGAAACGAGTCCCTGAACCACGTTCAGTGGACACCAGCTTCATGAACAGTCCAGTCTGTGCGAATTTCAAGCAATTCGGCTCGGCCAGAGAGGTGACCCTGAATCCACGATCGCTGTTCAACGATCGTCGGAATACAGTATCGATGCAGACGGTGCCCTGCTTCGAGGATCACACGGCGCCCAAGCCGAAGATCGATCTGATCGGGAAGAGAAGACACAATTCCGAGTCCGAGAACGCGTATTACGGGACTTGAAGAACGTTCTGGTGCACAAAAGCGAGGATGGACTGTCCCCCAATACGCAAAGTGTTCTCGAACTGGACATCCTGCCGTCGTAGAATTTAATCATCGCGGGATTCGACGGTGATCGACGAATCGACGCGATTGAAAGAATTCTAGGACGGATAGAGGATCGATGGTCAGCCATGAAGAATCACGGTCCGTTTGCCATTCGACTGAGCCGAGATTATAGACTAGGACACTCACACGATGGATCTCCACTAATCGATGCATTTCTTGTCCCCCATTGACAATCCACGAGCAAAGTCTGTTCAGACGTTGAACGATTTCCAAACAGACTGCGGGCGTATTGAATTATTCGAGGCACTGCTTCGAATATAGTCTATTTATTAATTGAATAATTACTGTCCATCGAAACAACGTGAATTATTCTCGAGTACTTATTTTATTTAAATTAACATTTTAATTGAAATTATAGATATACACGGGGTTCAGTGTTGTATTATACATTTGTAAATCTGAACGTGGAATGCGTGAAATTATTTTAGTTCACGAAGTAACCGTGGAACGACACTTGGTTGTCTGTAGCCTGCTCGCGATCGAACGATTTATCATTATCGAATCGTATCGAACGATGCCCAGGCCTGTTTAGAAATGGCTCATCGGTGTAACAGAGAGCAGTTCGCGCCAGCAACGCCATGATTAAAGAAGATTCAACGACTCGAAACGGAAGTGTTCAGACAAACCGAGGATCGAACGTTGGACAGATCACCAAGCACGATCTCTCCGATATTTATCGTTCGCACAGTGCATTTACTAATTTGCCGCATGGCGTTCAACGACAGCTTGACGGGCCGACGATGAATTCCTCGGGCGTTCGCCACCACAAAACACATACACGCGCTTGGACAGAGAGAAAACGGTCCCTTTTGACCTGGTCTTTCTTCGTCCACCTCCTAACTCCTTTTACTAGTATTCGAGCGTACCACTCACTCGAGAAAGTATTATCTCGTTTAGTTTATTTATTTTAGATGATGAATTTTTAACTCGCGGCTCCGCGGCCCCGAAGGGTGGACGAGAATCTTCACGCGGAAGACGACGCCCACTTTGCGCAACGGTCGATCGAAATACATAATATAGATAGGTAGACTAGATTTTTCCTCCCTTTGTTCGCGCGCCTCTGATATCACGAAATATCTGTGTTTTTTTTTCTTCTTTTTTTGTTTTTCTTTATCACTGCGGTTTCGAAGGGATACTTAATTCAAAGTGAACTAACCACGATTCGCGTCCGATTGAATTGTGTTGTTATAGACGGACGCGGATCCGGATGGATTTTCTAATTAGAGAACTATACTTGTAGGGAATCGTTGGTAAAAATTCCCATTTTCGCGACGAGCAGCTTCCTTTTTTGTTTTTCCTTTTCCAAAGTGCACTTTGTCGCGATTTATGGCGATCGAAGCGCACAGCACGCGAGTTGCTAGTTTGATCGATCGATCACGAGAAAAATCGGTGCTTGTTGCTTGGTTGGACACCAATGGAAGCGATCACGCGTTGCGAAAACGGGAGCCTAGGTTCGTGTCTTTTTTCTTTTTTTTTTTTTTTTGGTGTGATGATTGGGACTAAGCTCTAGTTTATCCCAACGTATATCGAAACATTATCGAGCCACGAGATCGAGAGTAGGTTTCGTTCGGGCTCGAACGCGCTGCAAAAAAGAATCGACGCTCGTTGTCGCCAGATACTTATTGTTCGTACGGGCAATGCGACAGGTGTGTACTTATTTACGCAATGGAAATAAATACTTAAGCTCGTTGTTCTACCACTTGCGACGCTATGCTTACGTTGAGATATAGCGGTTGTCGAATAACAAAGTATGTTTTTAATGTAATACACGGCTTCTGTTCTTTTATTCGTATACCCTCCTTGTATGTACAATGTGTCTAAATCATTTTTCACAGTTTATCAAGATTCTTCTCTTGTCTCCATATCATAAAACAGAAACATTCAGGATTCAAGAAAATATATTGAAGAGGATGTGAAATTTTGTTTGATCAGAGGATTCCTAGATAGAACATGACGCCTTGAAGACGTCCATTTTACGGCTATTTTAGGCCTAAGCCGTCTTCGAGCCGTCATTGGACATCATAAGCGAACTGTTTTTAAGATTTCAAGGGAAAAGGATTCGAAAGAGGTTCCACGGGATAAAAATCGAACATTTATTAAGCGCGAATATAAACAAATATCACACTCACTTAATTTACAATATATTCACGTCGATACAGTGCGCACCGGTCGATCGAGAGCCGAGACGCGACCATCGGAACAGCTTGGGCAGGAATTCTTCCACTCGGATGGCTCGGCGATCAATGGGAGTAACTTCACCAGACGCAATGATAAATACAACAATTCACACGCATCGTCTCGTTGAATTACAAAAGAAATACATATATATATAATAAAGATCGATACGCGGCATCAACAGTTTCTCCACTGTCTCTCGAAGAAAAAAGTCTCTTCACAACATACAGAATCACTTCTTACAATATTTACATCCATTTAGTACAGAATGGCCATATTTTCAGTTACTTTTTCATCGTGCATCCAACAGCAAGATCATCTCTGGATCCTCGAAATCCACTGGCCACTCGCGAAGCTTGTTAGAGACCCGTGTCAACAGTGTCGCGAAAACTTTGTTTCATGCAAAGTTTCCCAGCGGTACAGAGAACAGCCTCATCTGGATCCTTCAGGCTACGAGTTGATTACGTAAGTGATCCAGTCGACGGTTTTGGCCACGCGATGGTAAATACCTGGCTGACCTGGCTGGGCGCACGAGTAACCGGCCGAGACGATACCGATCAGGTACCATCGACCTGTTTTCTCTAGCATCAGTGGACCGCCGCTGTCGCCCTGGAAAGAATAACGAACAAAATGGATGCTTAACGAAAGCGCTCGATAAACTGTTAAACTTGATTTTGCACGAGTGGGTTATAGTTCAACGTTCTGACGAGGGAACTTCGGGGTTTCAAAAATTTCAACTTTTTTAAGACTGCTCAGGTTTGTAGTGGACCTCAATAATAGCATCGGGCAATTTTTCGTATTTTACTGATATTCGGTTCTTTAGGATGAAACAACCCCTTGAAGAACCGAACATCAAGAAAAACAAAGTTATATTAAGGGCCACATACAAACCTGTCAAGTATAAAAACAAATCAGAATTTTCATGGTACCCAACTTCCCTTGTGAGTTCAATTTAACAACCGCTAAATTCCCTCAATTCGATAAAGGGTTCGAGGGTTTAACAATCACCTGACAGGAGTCCTTTCCGCCGCCGCGGTATCCAGCGCACATCATCTCGTCGTAAATGACGACGTTGATCCCGTTGGAGCGATGCCACCTCTCGCAGACCCGGTTGTCTATCACAGGCACGTCGACGGCTTGTAGCGTCTTCGGTCGCAGCCTCGATCCTGTTTTATTCGAGAAAAAAATCAATGCGCGATTAGACCGTCGAAACGATTAACTCTCGACAGACGAATTCTCGTCTATTTACCGGCTTGCAGCGCGCCCCATCCAGCGGCCCAGCCGTATTGACCGAGGAAGTCCTCGTTCTTCTCGGGCAAACAAATCGGCGCGATGTGAGGCATGTAATGAACCGGTCGATCCAGTCGTAGAACGGCCACGTCGAACCTGGACGATTACAATCATTGTTCGAGGAGTTCGCCGGGAATGTTGGAGACTTATCGATTTAATCGTACCTGTCCGCCTGAGGGGTGAACTTGAAGTAGGGGTGCACACGAATCTCCCGGACGCCGAACGTGTACGCTGGCAGTGTCTCGGTGGCGGAATTGACCACGTAATCGCCTAGAGTAACTTGAACCTGACGTGCTGACGCCCTGGTGAACGAAATGGACGTATTTAGAAGGGAGAATTAACCATTAGGAACCACACTCAGCATGCAGAGGAGTTTACGAACACTCATTGATGATATACTGTACTATGTTTCAGGTGTGGATTGAACATACTACCCTTAAAAACGCTACGAACTTTCCAGAAGACCCAATACAATTTATTTCCAGGTAATTTAATCATTTAGATGTATTAACGTATATTCAAATACGAGAAATATTTATAATAAATATTTTTTGAAGGTCATATGCGTTCTGTTCATGTGTCTGTGTAACTTACTTGGCTACACAGTGGCCAGCAGTGACGACATGGAATCGATTGACGAGCGTGCCCCCGCACCGGCTGGACCCGATTCGTATGTACGCCTGAGAAAACAGAAGAACAGTCTCTCTGTTTGATACCGTCTTTAAAAATGAAACATGCATCGATCTGTGAACGGAAAGTCTGACCTGCCATGGAAAACTGCCGAAACCAGCCTCGTCACCGCCGACGATTCTTCTCTGAGCGGTTTGCTTCGAGGCGGGGATCCCGCAGCCTGCAATTACAAGGATGTAGATTCCCTAGTCAAGTCTGGGGACACCGTTCCGCAGCATTCACTAATCGCGAGCGCTTCTTGAAGAGTTAGTGACCGAGTAAACAACACACAAAACGTTGCGTCTGGGACGGTGTGGATACTGGTATCGTTAAAAAGACTGTCCGATGCAATTGAAATTATCCGATTCGATCTCTGAGTAAATCAAACTTTCGACGAGTTTATCGATTTCGATTGCAGCGAGTCCTGTGTAGAACATGTGGTTGCGTTAGTCAGAAAGAAATGGCCGTTCGTTTCATTTATAATTAAAATTACGTCTACGGTAATTGAATTTCCTAGAGCCTGATAAAAATTATTCAAACCCAGATGGATTTTAACCATTTGTACTCGGAATTTTCTACTTCTCCATATATTTTCTTTCTTCAGACGAGACACTCGAGTGCAAAGGGTTAAAGTATCTCAAACGACCATTTGTTTCCCACCGTATGATAGTATTACCGAATTAGACTTGGAGTAATTCAGTAAAGTGTACGTAAAGAAGTTCGGAAAACGATGATGTATCTGAAAGACGATATTTCGACGAATTCCAAAATGAAGAAATTCTGGTGGTTCGTGGATGAATTTACAAGAGATCGCGTCGATCCTGGTTCTTACCGGCCAAAAATCGATCTTCCGGGAGACAGAGGGACTTTTACCTCGCGAGCAAGGGAAACCGGAAGTGGGTGTTTTCTACGTCGAATGGGAACTCGCGTGATGTGGGGGGAACCGACGAAGACGTGCAGAACGGATTCGTTGTTATCACGATCAGCATGCAAGATTGATCGGCTAACGGGGTAAGAGTTAACGGTGAAGAAAGGAAATCTGGAAAATTGATTCGTGGTGATCGGGCAATACGGAACGTTTACTACGCATGCAACCTCGATGCACGAAAGAAACCAAGGGATAAGGAACTCGAAAAACAAAAACCAGGGAACAGTGCAACATACTTTCATGCTTTGAAAGGTGTAAAACAGAGAAAGTGACGACATTCGTCTCCGGCATGCTGAGGAAAGTACAAGTGCTCGAGGAGGCCAATTCGAAAGTGGAGAACGTTCTGGCATGCTGAGGAAAAGTGCAAGTGTTGAATTTCAAGAACAGAAACAAAAGAATAAAGATGAACATACAAGAAGATAAGGAAGAAAGATGGATGAAGAGTAGGATTAAGTGTAAGGATTCAAAGATTGTTATAACATGCTCAGGATAGTGCAAGTGCTCCGTTTGAACAACTGAATCAGAATCACTGAAAAAAGTGATGGGTTCAGTAGTCAAAGTTAGGAAGAAGAAGAAAGAAAAATGGACTAAAGTCTCTAGTCTAAAAGAGAGTTAGGAACATCATTCCGGAAGCATTTCGATAAAAGACCAATGGCGGTGTGCTCATGCTAAGTGCAAGAATCGGACGGTCATGCTTCAGTAGGAAGGACTTACGATCATCATTGGCGGTCTCCGTGTATGTATCCAACGGAAGCGGCTGAGACTGATCTCTAGGTGCCTCAACCAGATTATAATCAGAGCTACCTTTCGGTTCACGTCGCTGACAACACGCGAACATAATGCCCCCGCAACTGCCCTCCAATAGGCCGGCGGACATCCAGCACATTAGAAAAAATTCGCAGCTTCGTCCGTCAGCGCACAACGTATCGTCGCCCTTCCACAGCGGTCTGTTTTGTTGACGCGGCTCTGCACAAAACAGGCTAAACTGTTTCTCTTTCGTCTCTCCGGTTAAACCTAATACACGTCGTCTGTTCCCGTTTCTTCCAATGGCCACGAAAGAATACGGAGAACCACAGGGAGAACAATATTTTCTCCTGTCGTAATATTTCCCCGAGGTACGATCGATCAGACCCGAAACCGGCGCCTGATTACTCCAAGCCTAGCTTCAGAATACTTTAGCAATACTTTTAAAAATTGGCGGGGACAGGATCGGAGGTTGAGCAACTGCGACGGATGAATGGAACGCTTTGCAATAGACTACGAAACAAGATTATATAAACAGAGTGATTCATTTGAAGTGATAGGTGCAAGTATCTTCTAAAATATTTTTCAAGGAAAAAAATGTTTCGAGCAGAGTTTATGTTTCAGTTGTGTCATGTTCTTTAAGTGGAATCATATGGTTCTTTCATCCACCTAATATATTATTGCAACTATCATTTAGGGAGGAGGTAAATGCCTGTATCGACATAAAGATTAACGAAATCTTGGGGACGTTTAACGAGGGTAAATTTTGAACATGACCTTGAATACCCTTAGCACACCAATATATAGGTCAATGAACTCGCCCAAGAGAAACCTACACGTCCACCTGAATAAAAACATATGATTCCACGTAAAACAAGCAAAGTTACCCTTGAAATCTCGAAGGTACGTCCACCTAGATAAGATTTATGACCTCTACAAGATGTGCTCCTCGACCACAAGTAAGCTCAGCTTGGAACATACTTTTCTATAACAAATTCTTTAGGAAATCATTGCGTGTATCACTTCAAATCGGTCACCCTGTATGTACGCACACACACAGGTGTCGCCTAATACAATCGCGATAAGGCTCGACGAAATCGTAATGGCGACAGGAAAGGTTTGCAGCTGTCGTAACGATTGTATCCAGCGCGCGGATGACGGAAATCGTCGAGTCGACGGAAACGAGACCGGGTTGTCGCAATCGTTGCGACATCAACCGGCTAGGATATTGCGGACCCGGCTTAATTTACGATTATCTGCGAAACACGAAATCCAGAGGCGCGATGCAACCGGCTATCGGTTTCACTCATTGGATTAGCGAAAGACCGGAGGCGCAACGCTGCGAAACCGGGGCTTTCGACAGGTGGGGTGAACTGGGGAACATCGGTGCGCCATAGGAACCCCCGATCTACGGATAGCTTGAAGGGAGAACGTACCTGATTCTAACCTAGGGTAATCGTCGAGAGTTTGCTTTCGATGATCTGAAACAATAAATATTTTCCTACTTTTTCCGTTTCATGTGTAAAGCTGAACAAAATATTCGGTGATATTATCGGTAGACTGCGGATGTCTGTGCAAAATTACATTTTCTGCCTGTAAAAGTCTGTTTTCAATGTACTTATTTGTACTTGTAACTGATTTATTTATTTTTTCTTTTTTTGTTAATTACCACTATTACTTCTGTACCAAAAGGTTTGTCATAATACAATCCTTAAGAAATGGAAGAAATTCCAATCTTTATATCTGCTTTTAAAAATCACTTCGAAAAATGTAACTTTGCATAAAATTCCGTAGGCCTCAAATTACCAACTGTAGAGTGTCATGGAAGAAGCGTAACCATTTTGTTTTAACATCTTTTACTCTGTTGAAGTTAATAATGTGTTATTGTGATAAAAACTTATTATCAAAATCAAAGTTGTCCGTTGTGGAAACACAAAGAAATTTACGAAAGGTTTTACAAAATTTAATAAGAATAAAGTGAAAAACAAAATGGCAAAAAATCATTTATGACACTCTGTATTACAAGGTCATTCTCAGAACGTGACAACCCAGTGAAAATTTCCATCGGTCATTCGGATCTGTATATACCTGAATCAGGTAAATAAAGAACCGATTTCTGTTGTACCCTCCCCCACCCTTCGTCGAAAAGGTTACCCCAAAAGCAGACTGTCACGCGTTCCAGGCCTTTATTCGGTCGAAGTACGCGTTACGATCTGGTTCCACGTTACCTCTGACGTCGTCCTCGAAATCGGGCAGATGATTCGACTGCTGGAAGAACGAAGGTGCGCTACCACCCACCGGGGATGGAAAGTCGTTCTCGCGAAAGATCAACCGTGGCGTTCGATGACCCATCACCGGTCTGTTGTACTCCGAAATCGGACTCCGCCATAACGATTTCTGTTGCCTCCAGGATGGAAAACGCACACCCGGAGGTACACCAGTGTTCCTTCCTATCGGAGGACCGCCACCCTCGAAGAGGTAACCGGACGGGCCACTCGGGAAACGGACGTATCGACGCCTTCGAGCGGAACTCAGTGACATATCGGTTCGGTTCACATCGTTGCTTCGTGTTTCGATCGGCGTGAAGATCGTCTCCGGTTTGCTTAGCGTCGTACCTGTGATTTCCGTTTGACTCGTGGCACGACTCGAGGAGATGATGAAGACTATTCCCAGCAGCAACCATTGGCTGGACCTCGCTGCACCCATCGTTCGGCTGAAATGTGGAAATAAGAAGGTTTTGGTGAGTACTTTGTCCTATTCACGTATCTAACTAAGAGTGGAGTGTATTCTGCAGGGGTCACTCGTTTGCACATAATTCTCCTACATCCTTTATCTCCCCTCACAATGCAGAGTCGGCACTATTCACTGCGAAACCTTGATTCTTTTTTAAAACCCGTACCTCGATAATCACTCTTTCTTCCTTTCGCAACTTTAAGTAGGGTAGATGTACCAATGAATGAACGTTATATATAAAAACAAGTAAATTAATTTATTAAAGTGAGCAAATGATTATACACTGGTTAAAAATGTCCATTCACATTAATTCACTGTTGAGATCTGCATTTTTCCAGTTTAATTTAATTATATACATTTTTGCAACTTTTCAAATTGAAATCTATACATTGTAAAAAGGTACAGATATTGAAGAATCTAATTTCCATATATCATGTATTTATTAATATTATCGTTATTTACAATTCGACTTTAATAGTTACAAAATCTCTTTAAGCATTCATTTATTGTTGCGTTTACCCTACCGCTTATCTCCCTGAATTTCTCCGATACATTTTTCCAATTAGCCTGAACAAATTGTTAAACGGTTGATCGTTCGATACGGCCTATCTCGAACCGCAGTAAATAGAGCAAACACGAAGCACAAATCTCACGGATAAAACGCGACGAAAGGGGTGAACAATGATCAAGATACCGTGAAATTGGGGAAGGGTAGCAAAAAAAAGGAGGGCGACGAATGGTCAGAAAATCGAACCGATTGCACGATCCGTTGCAATAGTTACCGATTATATCTCGTCACGCGAGTTAATTAAATTCCCTTTCCACTTTTTTAACGACTGTCCGACGATTTCTAAGCGAGTCACCGTGATCTTAGTTTCACGTGGCCATCGACCGGCGATCTCCCGTGCCTTCGATCCTTCATCGGTCGTTAGATTCAATTTTACTTGAAAACCCATGGACGGAACGTCGTCGCGTGATCCGGCTTAACGAGTCAGGGAACACGCAGCAGGACAAATCCGCTGCGTGTTCATGACACGAATCCCTTTTTGCGAGACCGTACTCTCTGGTGATGGAACACGCGACGATTCCTTGGATGGGATCGCTTTGTTGTTTACGATATTGATGATTTTAAAACTTTCGAGGACCAACAGTGGGAATCGTGGAGAGTATTCTCGTAATTCAATTTCTATTTTCTGTTGAATTTCTTGTAAAAGGCTGCGACGTTCTGTCGATGGGAAAGCAGATGCTTGTAATCGATCTTAAATTCAGTTACTAGGAAACCTTTGTATCTGGAAATTACGAGGTTTTTTTATACTTTGGTAGAACATGGGGTAACTTTTTTTTAGGTACTATTCGGCTCTTTAGGGTGAAACCACCCCTTAACTTGAAATGAAGATTATATTTCAATAGGTGTTATGGTTTGAAATATTTATTTCTATTATCCAACGTACTTAAATTTTACATCCATCTTTTCGAACGTGCGGAGTTATAAAAAAAATTAGAATTGTCGGTCCACCGAGGTTCTCATGTTAGAAGTAAACTAAAATGAAACAATTCCTAAACATAATACTGCTGAATCTTTATTCCTACAATTTTTGTGTCATTGGAAACTATTTATATTTTTCTCCAACGACTGAGTAATAAATCTGTCTCTCAACATAACAGAATCGATGCGCCTTTCCACGGTCATTAGAAGTGCCTCGAGGGGTCCGATAAAAATATTTTCCAACCGAAACTGGTTTTCCCACTTTCTCTCCGATCGTCAACCCCCCACCCGATCCAGACCGGTGTGCCCCTGACGTGTCGTCACGGACACAGTGTCATAAAATCGTATCCAGTTATGACATCCGAACAGACATGGAACCTATCCACGTCCATTGCACATGACCCACCGTGAAATCCGGAAACAATAATCCCAACGATTTTCTATTTTCCCCTCCCTTAGGCGATTCCGTATATTTTTCCTCCTCCTCCCTCTCCCCAAGTTCTTCTTCCCAGCCGGCGGTCGAAAATATGCTGTTTGCGTCACGTCGCCCCGTAACGGGTGAAAGTAAAAAGAGGCTCTACCCGGAAATCCCCCAAGCCACACGCATCCGATTATACACTGGGATCCAGTAATGGTACTTCAGGCACACACAGCATCCTTGTCGATCGATTATATCCGAGCGATATTAAGAAGCGGTGAAAACGCTCGGTTAGAGTTTTATGCCTCTGCGAGTGTCCGCCACGATTGGGCAATCCGACAGTCGTGCCAGCCGCATTAATCGCTAGTTCGACCACGTTCAGGGCAATTTAACCACGTAACGGCCCTTGCCCGCCGTAGTTTCGTAATAGATTAAAAATCCAGCTCGAAAGGGAACTCCCGATTGTTCCGCCGTTCCTCGATCTGACTGCGAGGAATTTCAAGGCGAGGAGGAACCGAGAAATGGCTATAGGATAATTTCGGTTCGATGTACTTTTATGGATATAGATATGATGCATTTAACCCTTTCGTTAACCCCTTGGGCAGATTTGACGACTGAGACTTGTCATGCATTTCTTTTGCCGATTCATTGAATTGGTTTCGAGCTGGATCCCCATAAATATGTAGGAGAGAACTTCGTGGTGAGAAGGTTGACCATTCAGATGCGCTTGGAAAGTAGATTTCGGAATGCTGGGAGACATTTTTGCAAACGCGATTGAAGGTGTTTAACTTGATTTACGTCGTGTGAAAAAATTTTGTAGGTAAAAATCGGCTTGCTTATTCAAGGCCGGACCAAAACTAATTAATCATCGCCAAAAATTGGAGGTCTTATATCATTCACAAATATAAGCTTACGTATACTCTTGAGGAACCAAAAAACTGTCTGAAGTGAACCTCAAAAATCACCACTTTCTACTTAATTTCCATTTTTAGTAAGGAACTCCGGAAATCTGTCGACTTAAAGGTAATTTCTTCAAGATTTACGCCACAGAAGTTGTTTCCTCAGCAAAAAATGTTCCATAACTCAGAAATAAATAATCTTGGAACCTATTTTCTTGTTAACCTTTTAAATGTTTTATTTCGTTTTGAGAACGTGCACATGTGTGCTTAATTAGTTTTAAGCTATGACGAGTATACTCTGCAAAAGAAGAGAAAATACATTTGCTCTCAAATTGAAATAAATTCTAATAAAGTAGTAAAAAATACTAATGTATACTTCTCTTTTCCAAGTGACTTTTTTTCGTATATTTTCTTTTTTTGTCCTAAAATATTCTTAAATGTGTTAAAATTATGAATATGTCTTATTTTAACTAAATGTTACTTCAAATAGTAAATACAAAGTTTTTGGTCTAATGACGAGTAAAAAGTGCCATCTTTTCATGACAAGTATACTCGACATGAATATCGAAAGGTTTAAGATTGATCTCTCAATTGTTTCTTTCGACCAATCTCCCAAGGTGAAAGAAACGAAATTCTGGAGTGAATTTTCGAAAGGACGAAAATTATAGGGCGTTCGAACGTCCTTGCCAGAAGAGCATCGGCGACGGCATAAGTTGAACGGTTCGATGTGTTAGTAGGTCATTGGCTCTGTCGTGTAGATCGAGCAGAAGTGAAAGTGCACCTCCTGCACACGCACGACAGTGTGAAGTTCACGTTCACGTTGCGCGCCGGAAGTTACGATCGGTCCCCACGGGCGTTCCTTATTTTTTTTACTTCTCTGTTTCTCCCTCGGTTCGCCTGTCCGATTCCCTCTGTTGGTCACACTCGATAGAGAAACCCGATACCATCGACATAATGGGAAATCGTGAAAATGTCGGTGGTGTTCCCTATTGTGTGCAAATAGGAGGAGATCTGTATTCAGATCCGTCTGATAGAAAAATATGAAGTAGAAAATGTGGCAAAATTTCTATCCTCTCGATTGAAAACAAGCAGGAAGAACCGTAGCGTGGTAGAAATAAACAGAGAGAGAGGGAGAAAAAGAAGTAGCAAGAAAAGTGAAACCCGTCCGATAATCTATTCCAGTTTCTAACTGGATTTTAGCCTTCTTAATCTCCTTAATGTCTCTCGAAGTCGATAATATTTTAATTACTGTTCCGTCGTACCTTTTTCTTCGGGTGGTTTCGGCCCGTGTTACCTTTTACGGAATCAATGATGTTTCAAAATGAATTCAACGTCTTCTTAAGAAGGTTCTACAGTGTATGATTATCTTTTTTGTTGTGTTGAAAAAGTAGGAGAGTGGTGCCTTAGAAATAGGACAAGTATCTTTGGATAAATATTGAATTCGACAAATAGTAATAGGTTATTAATTGGCGAATGATCATGGTTTGACTTGTTGTTCGAGGTTCAGAAAACGGGTGACTCGGTCAAGGGAATACGCGTAATGAAGGAGAAGCGGAGAAATGGTCGAGGAAATTGTTCTTTCCTGGACTCAATCGAAGGAAAAGTGACCCGGGCGCGTGCGCAAAAATAAAAAAGAATGATGAAACGAACGACTGAGGAGAGGATCTCGAATGAGTCGCACGAACTTTCACCTTCCTCTACGACTAGAGACCGGCTCTATCGTGCAACCACCGTCGATCCTCGAAAGTACCAGAGTTTCTTCTCTCCTCTGCGCAGAAATATACTGCCACCACATGCATAAAATTGTACCTTCGTTTCCCAGATGTTCGTGAAAGCCCACGTGCGTCGCACGCCTGTCTACACCATGGGCCAAAAGTGCGGGAACGGTTCTTGTACCAAAAATTTAAGTAAAAAACACGAGAAACAGAATCCTCGAAAACGTAATCGTTGAAATTTAAAATTTAAATCGTTAAAAATTGAATTTCGAGTCGTTGAAATTTGAATCGTTAAAAGTTGAAATTTGAATCATTAAATATTAAAATTTCAAATTTCAGTCGTTAATAGTAGAAATTCGAAATTTGAGTCGTTAAGAGTAGAGATTTGAAATTTGTGTCGTTAAAAGTTGAAGTTTCTAAAAGACGTGATGATACAGAGATTAACTTGAAAAATC